CTTGCTAAGGATCACAAGGGCTGGCTGATTTGGGACTTGACCAGCCAGCAGCTGACCGTGTCGAGGGATGTGAAGTTCCTTCAGTCCTTGTACTACAAGGAGTGGAAGCAGCAGCAGCAGAAGCTTCCCACTAGACCGCTGATCATTGAGGCTGATGAGGTGCAGCGGCCTTCGAGGCAAGTGCAGGTCACTGTCTCAGAGGAGGAGATTTCTGGGGTGACTGAGGATGGGGGAGAACCTGAGGTGGAGGAGCAGGAGCAGCAGCAGCAGCAGCCGCAGCAGCAGCAAGATGCTCCACAAGGTGCCGTACGTCCGGTTGACTGTCCAAGGAGGGATGTGCGCCCTCCTAACCGGCTGACCTATCCGAGCTTTGGGAAGCCAAGTGTGGTAAGGGCTGGGAGTGTGGCTGAACAGATGGATGAGGATGAGATAGCGTATTGCTATGGAGCTGCAATGAGATGGTTTGGTGGATAGTGTTTTGAAACAGACGCTGCAGAGGGTGCTACATGTTAGAATCACTGAACATTGGGAGGAGATTTGAGCAAAGAGGAGATGTTGGAAGTGGGATGTTGGAAGGAGATGATTGTCCATTGGGATCAGTGTTGGAAGTGAATGAAGCTTGCGGGAATGAGTGTGCATTGAGGGTGCATGCTTGAGTTATGGCATGTGGGATGATGGCTGGCAGCCAGAGGGGGAGTTTGTTGTGTGATGCAACCATATGCATTCACATCTGTCTGCCTCCCATCATGTGTTTGTGCGTTGCATGCCTGGTGTGAGCATGTGCAAGAATTTGTGTTTGATGTGGTTTGGTTTTTCAGAGTGAGTGTATGTTATTTGGCTTGAGCAGATATCTGAAGTGATTCCTCTACTCAAGAGCTTTCCGACGAACCAAGAATCGTCGCGATCGGAGCACAACCAAGAAAGTTACGAACATTGGAGTTCGTATGCTTATATATTTTGGTTGCAGCTACTTTGGGAAGTTGCGGCATTGACTCAATATGGGGTACAGACTTGTGGGGGTTGGGAAATTCGAACACATCACTGTAGATGCTGCCAAGAGGTTGGGTGAAGCCAAACCAGGTTGGTAAGTGTGGCCAAGTTGTGGTGAGGTGGATGGCATGGGTTGGAAAGTGACAAAGGTCAAAGTTTGTTGCCTATGGGGAAGGGAATTGTGTGGCATGGGGCTTCCTTGGTTGAGGACTCTCTCTTGGGACCTTCCCTCTCGTCCTCCTCTTCCCCTCCTACCAGGTTTAGTGCTACTCGAATGTTCTTTCGTGGGACTTGTGAGTTAATTGTGATCGAGTTAAATTTCTGTGGCAGCATACCCCCTAGTGCGCCGAAAAGTAAAACTCGAGATATGCTTCATAAGTTGATACAATTCAAATTGGGAAATGTAGCCACGGTCTAGGGCTACAACATATTCGAATTTCGTGGGATTCTAATTGTGCACCTTTCGTCGACAACGTTTCTTGTGAAGTCGACGTTTCTGCCCAGAAATTGAGACCAACGATTTTAAAAAATTTGGGCACCTAATCTTCATAGACTCCGTCCTTAGTTTTTAACAACCGCCAGCACACCCCCCCCCCCGTTTCTAGCTCCTCACATGGCGTGCACCAGGGCTAATTTTTGGTTTTAGCCAACCCTTACGATCAGTGTTGCACATCATCAAAATCCTGATTATCAGACTATCCCTTAGTGAAAATCCTGACCTGTCAAGGATTTTGCAGATCCAGAAAATTCTACCCTGGGTCATCAGTGTAACAATTTTTCAAGGCCAATGGTGGCCCACTTCGTACCAGCACACGTAATGTCGTGCCGAAATTTACAGTTACGACAGTTGGCACAGGGGATTCCCAGGTTACTGGGTAGGGGGTTTAGGGAAAGGCTGGGGGGGGGTCAGGGGTTGGCTGGAAGTCGCTTTAGGGTAAAACTCGATAAGAGGATCGGCAACCCTGCGGCGACAGTGTAGCACAATCGTAAACCTTGACACATCAGGGTAAATGAAGGTCCTAAAAAAATTACCCTACCGCATCAGTGTCACCACCCTGTCCATCAAGGCATCAGGGTGATTTACCCTGATAAAATAGGCCCTGGCGTGCACTAGAGTTCCAAAGTAGCAGGGCCAGTCGCAGCACTCTCGGCAGTGGGGAACTGCGGGTCCAAAGTGTGGCGCCCCCAGCAGTGGCTCAGCTAGCAGAAAGTGAGACGTCACCCCCTGTAGGTACCGGGCCCTAACACGCCCTAAAGTGGGGATTTGTAGGTAGTTCCTGCTCGAGTCCTAACCACTCTACAACCAGCTCCTACCGTCGACTCGATGAACTCCACCGTGATCGTTTTGGTCCTCACGCTATTATACAGCACTGGCTCTCGCGTCTTTGAAAGTGCACTGCTGCACCAGTTGAGTCTCACCTACCTGGGTTAGGACCTTTCTCGACTATACGAGTAGAGACCTGTGTTTCCAGTCTTGGTGCATGTGTTGTCTCTAGTCCAGGAGGCTCTACATGTCTTTGCATATGAGCCACAACAACCACTAGTCTAGCACCAGCCTTTGTAGTTGGCTTGGGTGCGACCTCACAGACTACACAACTTTCCTTCACCCTAGACTCTGGAGCGTCCAGCTGTTTCTTCGCGACTAAACTGACCTCACACCACTGCGCACTCTAGTGACAGCTCAGTAGGACCTGTAGTTGCCCGATGCTTCACTGCCCATACTACTGCTAAGCCCCCCCCCCCTCGTACGACGAGTAGTTGGCTTCAGCCGCATTGCAGCTGCGGCTCGTGAAGGCCCATAGTAGGACCCCGGTCTCGGACGACGCAAAATGTCGATTTTCTCGGCGAGCGCGAGAATCTCGTTGAAGTTCGAGAGCCCGCGTAGCATGATCTCATGCGAGATGTCCGGCTTCAGCCCTCCGACGTAACGGTCCACCCGCTCCGCTTCGTGCATGTAGCCGACTTGCTCGCATAATGCGAGAAAACCACTCGTGTAGTCTTGAACCGATCCAAGCTGCCGCCAAGTACGCAGTCTTTGACGCGCCGAAATAGAAGCCGCGATTGGCTCGAAGCGCGCCCGAAGCCCTGCGCACCACGCATCCCACGTGTTATACTGGGCGGTTTCGCAAAATGAACTCCAGGTGACAGCTGGACCCGTGGGCCCTTACTCTTGCGACGGTGGCTCGTAGGCGCGTGGCGACGTAACGATGACTCGCCGCCAGTCCATGGCGGGGCCCCTCAGCAGCGAGACGGCATATCGGATCTTGTTGCGTCCGACTCAACGTAATTTGCGTCGAAGAAGACGTTCATCGTGAAGACCCACGATTGAACCGTCGGACCTCCACGCTGGCTCGGGTCGAAGCAGGGCGGGCGTTGCGGCTTGAGTGGCATTGGTGCCATAATGGCCAGTTCGCCACTTGTCGCCGCGAACTCCACGTGCCGACGGGCTTCACGAGGCCCCTGCGGGCTTGGTGCGACCTTGTTTCCCCCCATGCCAGGCATCGGTTGGGCGACACCATTAATGGCTGCACCTGAGCGCCGTCCCACGCTGTCGTGTTGTGTTGGTGTGCCGGACGAAATGATGATCGGCTCGTCCGATTGTGCACATGCATTTGTTGATCCGTGTGGTGGCGCTGGAATTTTCACCGCAGATTGCTGACGCGCAGATTCATGCCTGTGTAGGCTGTAGTGGGGTAGCTCATATGGGGTACAATATTTCTAGGGTTTGTACTTGTACCCAACCCTTGCACTAGTCAATCATTCTCGTTTCTTCACAATTCACGTTCCGCCATGAGCGTCGCAATTTCGAGCGCCGATTCTTTAACTTGGCGCACCAGACGGTCATGTTGCTCCTGCGTCAACGTCGCGAGCATGAATTCGGCCATGGCGGGGGTGTCGGGCAAGCTCAGCGAGAGCCTCTGTCGTGGCCGTGCGTGCTTACGAGAGAGCACTACGAGCGGCGGTGCTGTGTCGCTGAGAGACGTCTACCCCCCCCAAAAAATTGAGATAGTGGGGAAGCGAAGGTGTGGGTGCGGTCCGAGAAGAGATCGTAGGCTTTGAATACCAAGTGTTACGAGTGCAATTTGAGTGATCGAGCGAGAGTTGCACTATCGAAGCAAAGAGTACAATGAGCAAAAGCATGAGCGAAGAATATATAGCGAAACTACAGTTGTAACGGTAATGGACTGTGGTTGTCGGGTGACGGGCCTGGACTGAGGTTTGGGGAAATGTCGAAGCAGAGGCCTGGAGCGCGGGTTACCCGCCGAGCCGTGAGGTCAGGGTGCGACGTGCGAAGGTGGCGGGAGGATTGTCGATGCGAGGGTTGCGAGTGGTAACGGTGCCGACTGTGGTGCTACAGTGGTGTACGCGCTGAGCGGAGACGCGAAGTAAGGAAAAGGAATTTTCCTTAATCCACGCCAGAAAAATGAAGTAACCCACGCCCTAAAACCACGCCACGCAGTACCGACTTTGCCTAAACAATCATTTTGAGAGTGCATTCGCTGCAGAAAATACTGGCAGAGGTCTGCGTAAGGCTGTACAGAAGCTACTTTGCGTGACGACACCTCACCGCGCCCGCTCGCGCACCTCGCCGCGCCACAAGTCGTCGCGCCGCCTTTCCTCCCTCGTAGCGCCCTCCCTCCTTTCTTCTCGCCTCCAATGGTCTCGCCTCCCCTCCCATCGTCGCGCCGCCCCTCCTTTTCCCTCGTCGTGCCTCCCCCCGTCGTCCTCTCTGCTGCAGCAGAGTTGGTAGCGGCGTAGAAGGCTGTCGTTGAAGCCGACTCGTCGGCGGCACTAGGGTCTGCCCATGTCTCTAACCATAACGCTTCGCGTGCTCTCAGACTCCAAGTCCACTCTCTCCGACTTGCGCGGGCTTTGACAATGCCAGAATCGGGGGGCGAATCGACCCCGTAAATCTCACGGACTCCTTCTTGAGGGGTGATTCATTGAAAGCAGAGCCGTTCAATGCTCGCACCGATCCCTGCAATTGTACTGATAGGTTAGGGGCGAATATGGATATCAACGTGACTAGTAGCAGCAATGACATACAAAATGACGTCAGCGGTGACGCTGGGGATGACGACAGAATCCCGCTGGACCCGCTATGTGATCTGCGGCCGTCGCTCATTGGCTCCACGTCGTAGCGCGAGTCGTGGCGGTGGAAGAAGCGGCCGGTGAAGACGCCGCGCCGGAGAAGGTGCGGCCGTCGCTGGTGGAGAAGATCGCGACGACGTGGAGCAACGACCGCCGACCGCGCCGCGACGGCCATTGGATGGTCGACACGCCGGTAAGCCTCACACAGAGTACGCCTAGCGGTGCACCGTGCAACGTGAATTTAGTTCCACGATGATGTGATGGCACGTGGGCCGAGAAGGCAATAGGGTGGGTGGGATCTGAAGCACAACCTAGGCGCAGTTGATCAATTCTTCCTCTCCGCGCCAACGTGCCCCCTTCGTCTTCTCCCCTTCCCTCTCCCTGCTTTCCCCAACACACTACCTCCCCCCGTAGTGCCCCATCTCCGCCTCCCCGCTTCCCTCGTCACCCCATCGCGCTTCCCCGCGCGCGCTACTATTTCCCCGTGCGCGCTACCCTATTCGCTCTCCAGCGACCAAGTCATCTCCACCGCCCCCTTCCTCGCCACCCCCTCTTCTGCTCGCGCTTCTTCCCACGCTTCCCCCCTTTCCTTGCCCGCCCCCCCCCCTCCTCTCCCCATCCCGTCCTGTCCCTCAGCCGCCCCACCATCGCGCTGACCCCACCCGTCCTGCCCTCACTGCTCGCCAAACTGCCCCTTTTGCCCCCATCCCCTTTCCGTACAAAATTATGTCCGCTTGGCTTCACCTCCCCTCCCCCCCTCCACCCCTCTCCACTTCCCCTTTCCCCGTCCCTTCCCCGCGCTCCCTCAGTGCGGCATCCCCACTTGTCCCCGCCCGGACCCGCCCTGCCTTGACTGCCGGGGCAGTGGGCGAGTGGAGTGCACCCGCTGCTACGGCCGAGGTGAGTGTGCTTGGGGGGCTGGAGTGGAGGTGAGGGTCTGGGAACGGCGTGTTGCATGGTGGGCACAGATGAGGTTGCTGGGGACGATGTGATGTGGGATGGGTGGATGGAGTGGTGGGCGCAGCTGGGCAGTGGGCGAAGGGGGGGCGAGGGGGCACCCCATCCCATGGTGGAGGGGCCTGTGTGCTGCGGGGGTGAGGGGAAGTGGGGGAGGGATGGGGGCGTGGTGGATAGGGGGGGTGGGGGAAGAGGGGAGGAGGAGGGGAGGGGGGAGGTTAGCATGGATAAGAGAGGAAGAAGATTGATGGGAAGCACTAGTATGATAGTTGTGTGGGGCAGGAGCGGGTGGATTGAGGAGACTCTTATAAGAGCGGAGGGAAGGAAAGGAATGGGATGGCGAGGGAGTGCTGCAACGCATGGGGCACATGAGGTGCGCAGAGGAGGTGGGCAGACGAGGTGGGCAGTGGATCTAGGGGCGTTTGGGAAGAGTGGCAGGGACGGGGGGAGAGAGGGGCGTGGAGGAGGAGGGGCGGGTGTATGAGGGGAGGGGTGTGCAGTCTCAATCTGATTTTATTTTCACAGGGGTACTTCTGAGAGTGGGGGACGGCTATGAGGAGAGGCGTAGGGCAGGGAGGAGGAAAGATAGGGAAGAGATGAGAAAGTAGAGGATGGGAGGGGGAGGAGGAAGGAAAGGAGTGTGTGGGATTGAAGGGAGGGGGGTGGAATTGGATAAAGTGAAGCTAAAGGAGTTGGCAACTTGCGTGAGAACGGTGTCTGAAGAGGTCAGCGGCAGCTGAGCGATAAAATATCCCTTCCTTCCATTCCACACATCCCCAGCGGTCAGTTGGCTATTTTTTGCATTTGCTTGTTTTGGCCATGCCCATTTTTGTTCCTTTCCATAGTTTTTTCTAATTTCCCGTTGTCTGATTTGTTTTGTGTGGAGCATTGTCATGCTCCTGCCCCAAATGCATGTGATCACGCACTGGCCTGCCTCCTTGAGTAACACGTGCTCCGCATCCGCCCGTCCATCTGCCCGCCCGTCCATCCATCCCATCACTCCCATCCATCCCATCCATCCCATCCCTCCCATCACTCCCAGGGCGCACCAACCACGTAGACCTCGTCATGCTCCCCACCGGCTCCTGGCCGCGCTGGTATGATCTCTGCCAGTACTCAGAGCATGCTTGCACCCAAAGAGGCCACACAACACCACTGCTTACTGTACACTCTGCCTTTTCACCTGACTTCTTTTGAGTCACTCGCGTAGGATAACAGCCATTCATGACCATCCATATACACATCCCCACACAGAGTAGCGTCGGTATGTGAATGTGCCGGCAGCGCTCTGTTCTCAGGGGTTGGTTCCGCAGGGGCAGTGGTGCTGCTATTCCGGCACTGGCTGTGCTTGCCCATCACTCCGCTCGCACCCAAACGCCCTCCTCTCCCTGCAGCAAAGTCAACGAGCTTGGTGACTAAGGCAGACGTAGTAGGAGACGAGAACACAGGGTCAATCACCACCGTAGCAAGAAAGTGAGTAACAGTCGGACTGGACGCACGAGCAAGGTCAAACAGAGGGTCAGCAATGTCAGGAAGGGAGGACGCAGGAGGTAACAGGAGGACAACACGATGTGGAACAGAGGAAGGACAGAATGTCATATCGTGAGTGCCTGGGACAGTCGGAGCATGCTGACGAGGAACACGAGAAACACGAGTACGGACAGCGGCTCTAGGCTGGGGCTCAAGGTCAAAGCTAGACTCAGGCTCTCGATGCTCAGGGGTGGAAGCACAATTTTCAGGCTCTCGACGCTCAGACAGGGATTGTGTCACAGCAGTGTAAGGAGTAGGAGCAGGCAGTGGGGAGTGCGGTAGCAGCGGCGGCTGAGATTGGTCGGCCGGTGGAAACAGTAGCGGAGGAGTATACCTGCCACAGGGAAGTCAGTAGCACCTGGCAAAAGACTGAGAAGGTGGCAAAGAGCACCAGCAGCTCCCGTACCTCCAGCACGAGCAGCACCAGCACCTCCAGCACCTCCAGCACCTCCAGCACCACTAGCTCCGGCAGCTCTAGCACCTCCAGTGCTAGCAGCTTCAGTAGCACCTCCAGCACCTCCAGCACCAGTAGTACCACCTGCTCCGGCAGCACCAGCACCTCTGGTACGAGTACCTCCAGGACCCGCAGCTCTAGCTCCAGCGCCTCTAGCACCAGCAGTACCTCCAGCACCAGCAGTACCTCCAGCACCTCAGTGCCAGCAGCTCCAGTAGCACCTTCAGCACCTCCAGCACCAGCAGTACCACCTGCTCCGGCAGCTCCAGCACCTCTAGTACGAGCGCCTCCAGGACCAGCAGCTCCAGCACCACCAGTACCTCCAGCTCCAGCACCTCCAGCACCAGCAGCACCAGCATCTCCAGTGCCAACAGCTCCAGTAGCACCTCCAGCACCTCCAGCACCAGCAATACCACCTGCTCCGGCAGCTCTAGCACCTCTAGTACAAGCACCTCTAGGACCAGTAGCTCCAGCACCTCCAGTACCTCCAGCTCTAGCGCCTCTAGCACCAGCAACACCAGCACCTCCAAGGTCAGCAGCTCCAGTAGCACCTCCAGCACGAGTAGCACCACTAGCTCCGGCAGCTCCAGTACCTCTAGTGGGAGCACCTCCAGGACCAGTAGCTCCCGCAACTCCAGCACCAGTAGCACTAGCAACTCCAGTGCTAGCAGCTCCAGCACCTCCAGTAGTGGTAGCTCTAGCACCTCTAGCACCAGAAGCACCTCTAGTACCTCCAGCTCCAGGACCTCCACCAAGGTCACCCACAACTCCACCGCTACTAGGACTTGCAGCACCCCCTAAGTCAGCACCCCAAGTCGCAGCACCCCCAGAACCAGCACCCCCAGGCACAGCACCTCCAAAACCCTCACCCTCTGTCTCAACACGTGTAGTCTCATCTCCAGAGACCACAGCAGCAGGCTGCGGAGGGGGCGAAGACGGTCGAGGCGGAAAACTTGGGGGGGTCCCAAAGCGTGGAGAGCGGCGAGTGGCCGCCGTGTCGTCCACAACTGAGTCACCCCCCTCAGCTGGGCGAGAGGAGTCAGAAGAGATCTCCACTGTCTCATCCAAGGGGGGTGGGTCGACCAGAGACACACCTGAGGGAGCAGGACCGTGTGGGGGGAGGGGGTCTACCAAGGGGGGGGGGGGCTGGTACCAGGAAGAGGGGTGCTAGGGGAACCGGGTGGGACGCGTGTGGGTGTAACTGGTAGAAACAGACCGACTCGTTAAAGGTGACGTCCTGGGATGCGAAGACTCGACGCGAGGGCAAGTGGTAGAACTGCCACGGCGGGACGTCAGTGGGGAAGCCAAGGAAGACGCAGCGGAGAGTGCAAGAGGAGAGCTTGCTCGCGGTGATATCGCGCACAAGGGAGAGCGCGCCCCAGACCCGAAACACTGACGCATCGCCAGCCTTCCCCGTCCACCTGAGTGTGGGCAAGGTCTCTGGCTCCGAGACACGAGGCCAAAGGTTGAGCTGATGCGCAGCGTATCGGACCGCAAACGGCCACAGAAAATGGGGAGCAGCCGCATGGATCACGGAGGTACGAGCAACCTCCATGATCAAGCCAATGCGACGCTCAGCAATCCCATTCTGCTGAGGAGAGGCCGGAAGCGTGAGTGTCTGGCGAATGCCCTCGTCTTGACAAAACCTCGCAAGGAGGTCAGAAGAGAACTTACTGCCCCTGTCAAAGTGCAGACGCAAGACTGGGAAGTCCTACTGAAAACGCTCGTGCAGCTGGAGACGAGTAGCACGGATCCAGGAGATTAAAACTCCGCTAACGTCCGCCTTGCGATGCAAGGGGAAGACTGTGGTGTAGCGTGTGTAGTCGTCAACAACCAACAGGAAGTAGCGCTCCTGACTCGTTCCACCGATGGGGGCCGGGCCCCACACGTCCATGTGGAGAGTCTGCAGAGGAGCAGTGGTCGAAGGAAACTCGGAGGAGTGAGGAGCGGCGCGCTGCCGCCCCTCGACGCAAGGAAGACACGGCGGGGCAAGCGAGCGCGGCAGGGGGGGCAGGGTCCTGGGGAGGCTAGAGACAAGGAGACGGGAGTGCATGCTGCGTAGACGCGGCGGGGAGGGGTGACCAAGATGGTGGTGCTAGCGCCGAGTCTCGTGCGTGAGTATTCTGCACGAGCACGACACAGCTAGCTGACCCGACGCAGACGCCCAAGCCGACGCGGCCACCTGACTTGACTCAGCCACCTATGCAGACGCAGTGGTCAGTGTGTACAGACTAGAGCCAGGTGACAGCCAGTCCGGGAGCACGTACAAATTGCCACACACTGCCCTCCAGGAATAAAGGTATCAACCAGACATCCTGAATGGCAGCGTTGCTCACCAAGTTTGTCAAGAACGTGGGGAGGTGGAGACCTGACAGAGAGCCGGAGGGGACCACGGGACAAGGGAGGAGCGTGGAGCTCTCGCATCTACTGGACTCCCAGAGGGGTCAGCCAGTGAGACTGGGACAGGTGCTGTGAGTGGTGTGACTGTGGTGCAATCACGAAAGAAGCAACATGACGCGCCTGAGTCAAGCGTGAAAGTGTGCAAGACCTCAGCTGAGGCAGGCTCTGTGGTAGTAGACGCACTAGCACCTAGAGCGTCGGCAGACTCACGAGCACCTAGAGCTGTAGCAGACTCACTAGTTCCTGGAGCGGGAACCTCTACACATCCAGGGACGCATCGCTGAGAAGAATAGTCGCGACGTCGCTTAGGCCACTTAAAATCAAAACCTCCACCACCACGCCTGCCTCGCTGAAAAACCCACTCAGGAAGCTGTTGAGGGGTGGGGTCGTCCGGGAGAGGCAGTGCCCGCTGCTGTCCATCCCTGGCCGCAGCAGCTGCAGCGATAGTGGCCATGACAGACAGCGACGATCAGGAGTAGGTCGAGCACCTCCAGCTCCTCCAGCACTAGCAGCACCTCCAGCACTCCAAGCAGCACCTCCACCAGCAGCAGCAGTAGCACGAGTAGCAGCAGCAGTAGTAGTAGCAGTAGCAGGGCGGCCCAGTGGGGCTAGGCGGCCGCACCTCCAGCACTCCCAGCAGCACCTCCACCAGCAGCAGCAGCAGCAGCACGAGTAGCAGCAACAGCAGCAGCAACAGTTTTTTATTTTTATTTTTTAACTTATTTATTTAAGTTTAGGGTTTCATGCGGGCTGCAGAGGCAGCGCCCACGAGCTGCACGGGCGACGCGCGACTCGGCAGGGCGGCGCGCGGGCAGCAGGGGCAGCGCTCACGGGCTGCAGGGGCAACGCTCGACTCGGCAGGGCGGCGTACGGGCTGCAGGGGCAGCGCCCACGGGCTGCAAGAGCAATGCGTGGCTCGGCAGAGCGGCGCGCGGGCTGTAGGGGCAGCGCCCAAGGGCTGCAGGGGCGACGCGCGGCTCGGCAGGGCAGCGCGCGGGCTGCAGAGGCAGCGCCCACGGGCTGCAGGGGCGAACGCGCGGGCTGCAGGGGCAGCACGCGGGCCACAAGGGCAGGCACGGCTGCAGGGCAGCACGGTCGCA